CGGGGTGCGAAATCATGTCATTCCTCGACGCATTCCGCGAATATCATCAAATTTTTATGCATGAGGAAGACGCAGAAAAGACAACCTTCATGACTCCTGAGGGCATATTCTGCTACCTTGTGATGGCCTTCGGTCTAAAGAACTCAGGCGCCACTTACACCCAGATGGTGGCCAGAGTCTTTCAGGCCGTCCTAGGGCGCACCATGGAGGCCTATGTTGATGACATGATTGTCAAAAGCAAACGATCATCAAGCCATGCTGACGACCTCCGGGAGGTCTTCGCCATCATGCAAAAGTTCAACCTTCGGCTAAACCCGAAGAAATGCACCTTCGGCTTACAAGGAGGCAAATTCTTAGGCTACATGGTGAGACGAAGGGGTATCGAGGCCAACCCCGAGAAAATCCAGGACATCATCAAAATGGAGCCCCCACGCAACGTGAAGGAGGTCCAACGGTTGATGAGCAGCCTAGCAGCCCTCAACCGCTTCCTATCCAAATCAGCGGAGAAGTCTTTACCCTTCTTCCAGATCATGAGGAAGACCGCTGGCTTCCAATGGACTTCAGAATGCCAGGAGGCCTTCGACGAACTAAAACAGTATTTATCTTCACCCTCTGTTCTCTCCAAACCCAAGGTAGGGGAAACTGTATACCTTTACCTTGGCGTCAGCCCGGCTGCCATCAACTCAGTGTTCATCCGGGAGGAAGATGGCATCCAGCATGCCATCTTCTATGTTAGCAAGACCCTCAGGGAGGCTGAACTCAGGTACTCCCCCGTGGGAAAAACAGTCCTAGCCATTGTTTGGACTGTGAAGAAGCTTGGCCACTACTTTCAGGCCCATCCGGTCCAGGTCCTCACTCACCAACCCCTTAGCGCCTTGATGAGGAGTCCCACCAGCTCCTCCCGAATGGTAAAATCGGCTATCTTCCTCAGCCAATACAACATCGACATCCGTCCGAGGCCTGCCATAAAGGGCCAAGCCCTGGCGGACTTCGTGACGGAGTGCACGGCCAGATCAGCGGTGGATGAGGAGCCCTCGGCACCTTCGGACGAGTGGTGGACCCTTTATACCAATGGCTCCTCCGCTATCAAAGCTTGTGGGGGAGGGGTAGTTCTCATTTCTCCCGAAGGCTTCCGGACCTATTATGCCATCTGCTTCTCTTTCAAAGTCTCCAACAACGAAGCCAAATATGAGGCCCTCCTCTGTGGCCTTCGGCTGGCAGCTAACATGAAGGCTCGACAGATCCACATCAAATGCGATTCCAAGTTAGTCGTCGGCCAAATTTCAGGAGAGTATGAGGCCAAAGAAGGGAGGATGAAACAATACAAGGAAGCCGCCAAGGAATTGCTTAAGGTATTTGAGGCACACTCTCTCACTCAAATACCGAGGGCTCAAAATTCTGAGGCCGACATTTTGTCGAAGCTCTCGGCCGAATCCCCCGAGCACATATCCAAAATCGCCAAAATCGAGGAGCTCAGCCTCTCCAGCATACACGCCAGTCCCATCATGAATATACAACAAAGACAGGAGGACTGGATCTCAGACATCATTGCCTTCATCACCATGAGGCAACTGCCCGAGGATGAGGCCCGCGCCAAGCTGGCAAAATTAAGGGCCCCCAGCTACACCATCGAGGACGGAAGGCTCTACAAGCGGTCTTACAATGGTACGCTGCTCCGGTGCCTTCATCAAGATGAAGCCGAAGTTGCAATGGAAGAAGTGCACAATGGCACTTGTTTAGCTTATCAGGGACCCTTCTCCATGTCCCGAAGGCTCATAATCCAGGGCTATTTCTGGCCTACGATGGTCCGAGATTGTGCGGATCTCGCCCGAAGGTGTACCGCATGTCAACACTTCCAGAAAGCCCCCGGCAGGCCAGCGGTCAACTATGCCCCCATCAGCACATCTATACCCTTCGCTAGATGGGGCATAGACCTTGTGGGCCCTCTGCCGAGGGGTACCTCCAACAACAGGTACATCATCGTTGCCATTGACTACTTCACAAAGTGGGTGGAGGCTGAGCCTCTTGCCAGCAATACTGAGGCCAGATGCCGCCACTTTGTCCTAAAGAACATTCTCACAAGGTTTGGCGTCCCCCAACAAATCATCTCTGACAATGGAACCCAATTTGAGGCAACCCCCTTCTGTGCCCTCCTAGAGGCATGGGGCATCAAGCACACCTTCTCATCCGTTGCTTACCCCCAAGGCGACGGTCAAGTGGAGAATGCCAACCGGACATTACTCGAGGGCCTAAAAAAGAAGCTGGAGGCCGAAGGGGGAGGCTGGGTAGAATAACTCCACAATATCCTATGGGCTTACCGCACCACCCCTCGGCGGGAAACAGGTGAAACACTTTTCTTCTGTGCTATGGATTTGAAGCCAAAGCTCCTACTGAAGTGACCATTCCTACCCGAAGGGTAGCCCAATATGATCCCGAAGTCAACGACGCCAACATGGCCCTCGACCTTCACCTCATCTCAGAATGCTGAGAGCAAGCCTTCATACGAGCGGAAAACTACCGAAGGCAAATCAAAAGCTACATCGACGCCAAAGTCCGCTCTCGAGAATTCCAAGTGGGGGATTATGTCCTACGACGAAGGGAGGCAAGCCAGCCAACCGAGGGCGGCAAAATGGCTCCCAAATTTGAGGGCCCATACATCGTTGCAGCCGTCATCAAACCGGGAACTTACAAGCTCAAACGCCCCAACGGGACCGAGGTCCCCCGACATTGGAATGTACACCATCTAGTAAAATTTTATCAGTAACGTTAGAGCGACCAAGCCCTCATACCTAATGAATGTATTATTCTACGGCCCAAGGCCTTCAAATTTGAAGACATATTAAAGACACCAAACAAGACACATATGAGCGGCCAAGCCCTCATGCAGACTCCTGGCCCAAGGCCTTATTGCAAGACCCCTTGGCACCAAGTGTCGAGGGTTGACACTCCAATCACCTATGACAAATGAAGGAAACACCAAGTGTTTTTAAGAAGACCCCTCGGTACCAAGTGCCGAGGGTATATACTCCTATCAACTCCAGACAGCGGAAAACACCAAGTGTTTCCTTTTGAAGACCCCTCGATACCAAGTACCGGGGGCTGAAACAAACACCAAGTGTTGTTTCTGAAGCCGTACCCCTCGAGGACGCATTTATACCGAAGGCACCACCTATCGGTGCCGGCAGCACGTAGTGTCCCGGGCCATTTGTAACCAGTGTGCAAATGAAAACCCTTCCTTGAAACGCTTTCCGCGCCATTACCCCAAGGGTATGGCAGGCAACTAATATGCCCAGGATTCGACTTTCAAAAACGAAACGCTTTCCGCGCCACTACCCCAAGGGTATGGCAGGCAACTAATATGCCCAGGATTCGACTTTTAAAAATGAAACGCTCCCCGCGCCATTACCCCAAGGTTATGGCAGGCCACAGACTATGTCTCGCGCCGAGAGGATGACTTTCAAAACTGAGGCGCTTTCCGTGCCGTCCCCCAAGGGGAGGCAGGCTACAGACTATGTCTTATGCTGAGGAAACGACCCTCGATCCCCTCGGAAGGTTAACCCGAGGGGGGAGCTAATGGTGTATGCTGTTGCCTCCCGATAGGCCAAGCCTTACCAAGAAACCAAATTTCTTGAAGCCTTCCCTTCACTACCAAAAAAAAGGTGGTGTGAAGGGGAGTAGACTCAACGAGAAATCAGCGAGTACACAACTTCAACAAATCACAACAGGAAGCCCTGGCCTTCAGCATCACAAGACAATGCAGATCATACCGAGGGCTCCCCATGGGAACACCCCCGGTACCAATAAACTACTAATCCCCGAAGGCTACTATTAGATGAATACCATCAAGGAATGGCCAAGCCCACTTTCTGGCTGCCTCCGGCATCACATTACCAAAGCGAAGGCACCTGTTACACATCACTGGAGGCCAGTCTTACAAGCCAAATGAAACTATTCTAAGTCTACAAAGTGGGGTGCCTCCGGGACTACCATCCTTCACCAAGGGATTTCTTACTCAAGATACTACAAATCGAAGGGTCTATTCACCGAGGGGCAAGTCATGGATTATGGCAAAAACTCTAAGTCCTGAATGCTTGGCCCTCTGCCAACCCACCATGCAACGAAGGCCAAGTCATTCAATGCAACTAAGGGAAAGCATAGACCGAAGGCCAAATGACTAGCAAAACTTAGAATTTTTTTTCCCAAGTCCTAAAATGCTTGGTCCTCTGTCAAATTATCATCCATCCGAGGGCAGTACACGAAGGCTGGCACATAAAATTTGAGCCCCCTATCTCATCCAGCCGGAGGGGCCTGCTAGCCGAGGGCTGAGTGGCCAAACCACACTTAGAAAATTTCTAAGTCCAAACCGATTGGCCCTCGGTCAACTATCAGTGCAACAAAAGCTAAGTGGAAAACTACATTTCAAACTCACATTACAACGATGGCCACTCCACTTCATACAACAAGAAGTGCCTACTAACCGGAGGCTCAAGGAAAAACTACACTTAGAAAAAATTTCTAAGTCCTAAATATTTGACCCTCGGTCAAATCTCCATGCAGCCAGAGGGTCACATGAACCGAAGGCTCAGTAGTGAGACTACTCTTGGAGAAATTTTCAAAGTCCTAAATATTCGACCCTTGGTCAAATCTCCATGCGGCCAGAGGGGTCACACAACCGAAGGTTCAGTGGTGAAACAACACTTAGAAAATTTTTCTAAGTCCTAAACGACTGACAACTCAAACATCAAAGTACGAGGGCATTCATTCACAAGGCAAATTCGAAGGCATTCATTTCACAAAGAAAAAACGAAGGCATACATTCAAAAGGAAAAGCAGATTATATGCAAAAGGCCTGAAGGCATCCATTCATCAATTCACAAAAAGTAAAAGGCAGATTCTCATACATGAAGGCCGAAGCCGGAAGACTGTACATGTTCGTTACAAGAAAAAAAGAATTTTTTCAAAACTATACGACAACAACATCATCATTGGATGCAGCATCGCCCCCTTCGGCAGGCTTCGACGTGGCGTCATCCCCGACCTCTTCTTTTTCGTCGCTGCACTCCGCCATCAGGATGGTGTCCTCCAGATCTGGCCTATTAACACCTTCGGGGAGGGGAACTCTGGTGTCTGGCTGGAGAGGGGGAAGCCCATAAGCCGCCGGGTCAAATGCCGACGGATCTGTTCCCAGGTGCCTGGCTAGCCTCCGATAGATGAGGGCCTGAGTAAAGTACTCGCCCCCATCATAGTACTCTTTCCCCTTCTAGGCCAGCCACATCGCCTCGGGACCTCTTATCCATTCATCCACGGAGGCCTCAACTACCGAAGCCACCCATGCTTTCTGGTTCTCAGCTCTCCAGCCCTCGGCGACGAAGGTGGCCACCGCTTCCCTCACCGCCTCCACCTTGGCGGCCTCGGCATCTTCAGCGGACTTCTTGGCGGCCTCAGTAGCTACCTTTTCTGCCTCAGCTCTCCCCTCGGCCTTTTCCGCCATTTTGGCGGTATCAAGATTTCCTTCGAAGGCCGCCCTCTCGAGTCTGAAAGCCTCCTCGGCCTCCCGAAGCCTCCTTTGGGCCACAACCAAGGCTTCGTCATCCTTCTGCTTCTGAAGGGCATAACGCTCCATCCTCTGGGCGAGTTCACCGAGGCCGAGGCTTGCCTGCAAAGGGGATCAGGAAACACCGAGGGTTAAAATCACTACGCACAAAGGAATCGATTCTAAGTTGGCTAAAGAAAATAAGAGAGAGGGGATCTTACAGTGACTGAGGCCTAGAGAACCTTGGAGCAGAGAGCATCATCAGCCTGCCGGGAAAGTACAAACTTATCAGTCGGAGGGGTGGCGCCCCTCAAGAACTCCCTCGGGTTCAACGTCGCATGCATAATGGTAGTCCCCTTGGTGATGGAGAACTGCACATTATCTTGGGGCCACGCCATTCCGGGGGCTTGGACCGGGGGCTCAGAGGAGGAATGCTCCTCGACAATAACAACCGGGGCCTCCTTAATCCCGAGGCCCCCCTTCTTCTGCTTCTTCCCCTCCGAGGGCACCGCGGCCTTCCCGGCCCGCTTCCTCTTCAGCTCCTCAACGGGGGAGCCCTCGGCTGTGGAACCGACGTTGTCGTCGGCGGCAGCCTTCACCTCTGGCACGGTCTCCTTGGCCCCGTCGGCAGTTCCCACCCTCGGGAAAATATCATCCACCGCCATCTGCTGCACCGGGGCGTCCTTCTTCTTGTTCTCCTTTGCAAGTTGTTTCTTCAGTTTGGAAAGGTTCCTGGCGTCCATATCTGGTCCTGAAAAGTAAGGGAAATACAGAAGGGTTAGGATGATAATACAGCAAGAAAAAAAAATCCTAAGTATGAAATGGGAGCCATCGGTAAGGCGACTACCTCCGGCACTTTGATAGACCCTATCGACAGGGGGATATCTCTCGTCGCTTTCCCCCATCAACCGGTACCGCCGGAAGCCCATGTCGTAAAGCTCGTCTGGAAGGGTGGCATCCCTGATCTTGGTATGCTTCTCAGACCCCTCAGGCTTCTTGGAGAGCTTCCTCCCCTTCTTCTCCAAGGCGGCACTCCCCACCTTAACATGCCTTCGGAAGCTATCACGGAGTGGGGCCGGAAAGGGATTCTCCGCCATTCGGACGTAGCAGAACTTGTCTTTCCACTCTTTGTGAGACGAGGGGACATCGTCAAAGAGCCTAAATTCGGGGAGCTGCTGCAGGTTGGCGAAGCCCCCGACATTTGAGTGGCCTCCCCGGCAGAGATTGAAAGAAAGGAAGAATTGATCTAGAGTGGGCTCCACAACCCGGCTCCGGCAGAAGGAAAGGAAGCCAGCCAGATAGGAGTGGTTGTTCGGTGTCAGTTGGCAGGGGGCAAGTTTGACGAACCGGAGATACTCGGTCACGAAGGGGTGGAGGGGGAATCGGAGGCCCAACTCCATCGAGAGTATGTGCACGGCGAAACAGCTGGCGGGGGCATGTAGCAGAACGTCATATGGCCCCGTCTCCACCACCTGTGCCGAGGGCCCGACCAGGAGCTGCGTCGCCATGTAATCTCCCCGTGTGGCCCTGGTCTTCACATCCAGGGCGGCGGTGTTGAGATAGAAGTAGCCCTTAGGAATCCCTATTGGTTGACCCGCGTCGACGGCAACCTGCTTCTTCCTCGGTACCGCCCTCATCTTCTTCTTTTTTCCCGGCGCCACGCTGATAGGCGTCGGGTCCAGTGGCCTCGAGCTCCCGGCTGCAGCGTCATTGCGAGGGGGTGGGATAGCAACGGTGAACTTCATCATCTCCTTCCGCGCCTCATCCTCGGCCACTTGAAAGGCGAGGGCCACCTCCTCGTCTTCACACACCTGCTCGAACTCCTCGGCTTGTAGCTCCATCTGGAGGGTGTTTTGTACCTCCATGGCCACAGCAGCATCATCACCCACCGAGGGCTGCTCACTCGTGGACTCCACATCTGATATACTCTCCTCCTCCGCCGAGAGCTCCCTCGATATGTTTTGAGAGTCGCTTTGCGAAGACATCCTCGAAGGCTAAGGGACGAGGGTTTCTACAACAGAGGGCTACCTAAGGAACTATATCAATTAGCCTAAGGCTACGAAAGCTGAACTCACCAAGAAAAAAAACAAAGTATGCTGAAGGCAACAGAGAATGGATCGAAGACTGACCTTGAAAGCTGGTGGTTTGACAGAGGGAAAGTTTCTCTCTCTAGGAAAAATTTGCCAGAGCTTCGCTAAACAATTGAAACGCACAAGGGGAAATGAATCGGGCAAGGGGTATTTATAGTCTCCTAATGTGACACTTCAAAAATTTAAATAAAAATAAAAATAATTTTTATTAGTCAGATAAAATATTACGAAAATAACATTTTTATAATTAATTGAGACAGACAAAAATTCAACAGTGGTATCGTGCTAATCAGATAAAAATTTCAGAATTTATGACGTTTTAGTCAGATAAAAATGGTCCGATGATAGAAGTAACGTTTTAGTATAAAATTAACTTTTATATATATCTATTTTAAGTTAAGTATAATAATACACAAATACAATAATATAATAAATAAAATATAATAGAAACCTACTTCTAATAAACCTACATACGTACAAATAATACAAAAAGTTATTGTTTTAAACTAAACTACCTACGTACGAATTATACTCCTACACCAACCGGAATAACTACCGGAGAAGCTGATTAAATTCAACTCCAACTCTAACACAGCCTGAAGCCTCAACCTATACCTATAAATAATAGCCTAGGACCTGCGTTTTATTCATACAAGAAACAGCCACATATATATACATATATACGTATATATATATACCAGAATTTTCGACCCTTCTTTTTAGCCAGAACCAAACCCTGAAAACACTCTAGAAACCTTCCCCTTCGTGAGACGAATCCAACGGAGAAAGAATCGTGGAAAACGGACGTCAGAGTAGGGAGAACAAGCTCGCCGGAGTATTCGCTGGGCTGATTTTGCGACGGGAAACAGAGCAGGAAAAGAGAGCTGCCACCGCCGCCGCCGGACCATCACAGACCTTCGCCGTCCCCAAACGAGCCTGCTAGCACCGCCGTTACGCCCGTCCGACGAGGTAAGCCCCTCCCCCTTTTTTCCCGTTTTCCGGCGACCTGGGGAAGAAGACGACCCATCAATTGCTGGGGTCTGTTTTGGGCCTTTTTCATGTTGGGCCAGAAAATTAAAATTTGGGCCAGTCTGGCCCAGTTGCATTAAAAATTAAAAATAAAATAGTAAATAAAATAAATAAAATCTGGAAAAATATAAATTAAATATCTGGTATAAATATACATATTCAGACCAACCAGAATTGAAAGATAATATTTTTAGCTATTTTTAATTGATTTAATTGTAATTGGGCCAATTTGTACACATTTAGTAAATAATTAACTAATTGACGAAAATAATTATGAAATAAATATTGGAGTAAACTAGGATAAATATATGACTAACTAGGACCTTAAGGACCATTTATAATTACTAACAATAAGGTTTAGTATGATTAATTGTAATTGAACCGGTTAATAGATATATGAAATTAAAGGAATAATTATGGAAATTAATTATAAAAATAGATATCTGGACAACCTAGGTCAAATATAGACCCAAAATATAGTTATAGACGGTTACTAATTTATAAAGTCAATTCTTAGTCTATTTAATTAAATTGGGCCATATAAAACTAGTTAAGTAATTAAATAAGGAAATATTAATATTAATGGTGAAATAAATAAATCATTGAGATTGAAAAATAATATTCTGGACTAAAAGTAATGTTGGAATAAAATAAGGAAAATAAAATAAGGTTGGGTTAGCTAGCATAAATAATTGACTATATATAGACTTAATAAATAACTTAGTTATGTAATTAGTGGACTAATTCAATTAATAATTTTTATGATTGATTATTAGAGATTCGGACCTCATATAAATATTTAAAATATTTGAACTCATAAATTGATGGGTTAATATAAATAAAGTAATTAAATAATATTTTATAAGTAGAGTAAATTAATGGTGATTATTGAATAAAAAATTAGGTGTTGTAGTTAATTATATTTGGACATTTTATTTCAAATATTGTAAATTAATGGATGAAATTAATAAGGTAATTTTATTAATAGAAAGTGAGTAATCAAATAAATTCGGATAACTAATAAATTAAGTTAATAAATTCGAATAATAAAATAAAAGGAGAAAATCGGGTAAAGTAATTACCAATAGAATAAGTGACTAATTTTATCATATTTAATTAAAAAGGTGATTATCTAGAGACCAGATTAGAGGAGGATAACTAGGAACATCAGGACTTAAGGTAACTTTCTCTGCCAATCCAAAATTGTTTCCTCGTATTATATGCTTATTATATGCATTATGTGATTAAGTGTGAATTGTGAATTTTGTGTATGTGATTTTGAGGAGACATTATATATATGGTAGTTAAGAAATATAAATCAAGTACTTTTGGGGTATTAAATATTTTTAAATACCTTCGAGACTTTTTAGAGAAATTAAGAAGTATTTTTGAAGTATTGTTAAGCAAAGATAAAATTTACATTTTCATAAGAAGTGAGCATCTCGGGAGTAATCCGAGGTGTCGGTTTTCCACATCCGGATAAATGTGGAGGGTGATTAGAGCTACTACTACTAAGAAGTACAGTTTAAGTTTCAAGTGAGATTTGGATCTATGATCCCTTTTAAGAAGAAGTTATAGTAGTAGTCCCTAATCATTCAAGAACTTTAGAGGTGGGGTGGTTGGGTTCCGACCACTCGGGATGACTTACTACTCGGAGGGCTTGGAATCCCTTTTAGGGGGTGTGCACACTTAAGGTAGTCGTTTCGTTTCCGCAAGAGCAGTTGTGGTACCGGCATTTGTTCGGGGTGGCCGTTCGTAACCACGGTCCACCGGGCTCAGTCGAAAGGTTGAGCACCGCCCTTCTAAATTACTAGGAAGTTAGAGAAGAAGTGATTTTCTTAAGAAGTTTAAAGAGAAGAGATACTAAGAGATTTTCGAAGAGAAGTTGAGGATTTTAGTAAAGAAGTAATTTTAAGAAAAATAAAAAAGAAAAGTATTTTGGTGGAGTGCGTCATTTTTATATGATATTATATAAAAATCTATTTTTGTCAAACCTGATTATTTTACGGGGTTGGGTAGTACTTACTTAGCTCTAAAGCTAATTTTTGTTATTTCTCTTGTCTCTCTCTTCTCCCTTAAATTTTATCAGGTGATGAGTTGGATGCCTATGTGGATTGATGGATTGCTCGAGCTTGAGTGCGAATTAGAAGATGCCTTAGTTAAATGTAGTCATGAAATAAACATTTACTTATTATTACATTAGTTTTTGTTGTTTTACTTTGAGTTGCATGTGCATTCGGTTAAGAGATGACCGAATGTGGCGGTAAAACCCATTTCCCTATTTTAGACTTCCGCTGTATTTCTTCAACTCTTTGATGAATGAATAAAGTATTCCTTTTAAATATATCAATGTTTTGGGAGGGAAATTTAGGGGTGTTACAAATTGGTATCAGAGTCTTAGGTTTTCCGAAGGGACTAGAACACGAGGTAATAGGTCTTAGGGAGAAATTCTGTCACAAAGACGATAACAGTCTAAGCTGGTTGGTGCATAATTGAGCCTTGCGCTCGTCCAACTAACTGGGAATTTCTCCTTGTGCTGAAACTTCGTTGTTCAAAATCTTTAACGAAAACTATAGTTTCGATGCGGGGATTTTCAAAATGTTTTTGTAAAATTAGGAGAATTAACATACAAGGAAAAAGACCTTTTAGGACGCGGTGAGAGGGAGAAACCTTTGCGAAAGTATTGAGTTATGAAATGCATGAAATTCATGCTTATGTGAAGTATGTGGAGTAAGTAAGATCCTTTGTATGTGTTTATCTGTTTGAAGTTAGTAGAGAACTTGTATAACGTAGAAGCCTTATGCATGCCTTAGAACTTAGTACGCGTTTTCTTTATTAAGAGTCATGCCGCCGAGAAGAGACACCCATGCGACCCTAACTGTCGAGGAGCTGGCCCAAACTGTCCAACGAATGGCGCAGCTTATCGGAGCAGCTCAACCCCAAAACCCTGGGATCGACTACGCAACAAGGGTAGCCGGGCGGAACCCTCCAAAATACTTGGGCGAGGAGGACCACCTTATCTTGGAGGACTGGATCCGCACTTTCGACAAGCTCTTTGATTCACTGAATTGCCCGTTGGAGCAACGGGTGAATATTGCAGTGTATTATCTGCACCAAGAAGCGGACCACTGGTGGGCCGCCAACGGACCAGCACTTCTCGGGCAACCGGGCTTCGATTGGGAGGACTTCATAGTAGCATTGCGGGATCGCTTCTACCCAGATCACGTGAAGGAAGCAAATTATGAAGAATTTGTCAACTTTAAACAAGGTGACCTGACTGTTCAGGAGTACCACACGAAATTCGTTCAACTGGCACGTTTTGCCAAGGACCTGGTGTCGACAGAGGTCAGTATGACCCGCAGGTTTGTTAACGGGCTTAACTTCGGGGCCCAAAAGTTCGTGACGGTAGCGGAACCGCGGAATTTGAATGAAGCTTATAGAAAGGCTGGTAAGTACTATCTAGTACACCAGAAAGAGAGAGAAGCCCATAAGAGAGATCGGAAGAATGCTGAGGTGGAGCAGCAACAAAAGAAGGTCAGAACCGACCGCCCTGAGCAAAGGCAAATCAATCAAGGCGGAGGAAACTTCCAAAACCAGGGGCAGGGGAGAAACCAGCCAACTCAGATGCGGCACCATAAATGCAAATTATGCCCAAACAACCATCCCGGGAAGGATTGTGCGGGAAATGCGGTGAGGTGTCGCAACTGTAACCTCTTGGGGCATCGGGCATACGAGTGCAGGAAACCCCCGAACCAGGGACAAAACCAGGGAAACAACCAAGCCGGGGGTGGGGATAATCACGCCAACAACAACCGTGGTAATCCTAGAAACCGCCCAGTGGAGGCCAACCGTAATCAAGGCCAGGGAGGGCAGAACAACACCTAGGGCCGGATTTACGTCATGAACCGGGCTCAAGCAAATG